TACATATAAATGTTAAACAATTTAAAATATTTTAATTTATGCTGAAATTGAATCAAGTTTAACAGCATTGATCATCTCAACAATCATGTATCTGTGATTTCTGTTAACGTATCAGCACTTATGGCCCCTGAAGCCCTGGGGGGCCTGATGGAGCCGCCGACTTAATTTGGATTAAACAGAAGTGCAAATAATTGATATTCATTTTAATTGTATATTCTGATTTGTTGTTTTTAAGACTAGTTGTGGGTTTAAGTAGTGTTTCACTGGTGATGTTTTCCCATAATGTATAATTACTGAGTGATATTTTAAAATATCCTGTCACCTTAACATCTTTTAATACAAAAACACGGTGGACCGCCTCGGCGCCTCGATCTGAGCAGGTTTTCTGGGGGAAACCCTGGTCATCAGTGAAGGTTACAAAGTATTTTGACCCACCTATGGATTCAGTCTGTATGGATCCACAGACATCACTATGGACCAGTTGCAGCTTACATTTGGAAAGGATTTCTCCCACTGCCACACATGGCTGTCTTGTGAGCTTGCCTTCCACACAGGCTTCACAGAAAGGAAGTTCTTTGTCTGCAGAGAATTTCACTCCATTCACCAGATCTTCTAGTTCCTTTAGTTTGGTGGTGTGACCTAAGCGCTGATGCCACAGATTAGCTGTTATTGATGCACTATGACATACAGCTGAAGATCCTTTAACTGGTACAGTCTGTTGATCTTTGTGTTCCCATTCCTTGAAGAGTTCCATCCTTGCCATGCATGTAGCACCAAGATTTTTTGAACTGTACTGTGTTTCCTTTTCTTGTAGCGGCTCCCACTGACAAAAGATTTCCAGGGAACCTTGGAACATATAGCACATCATACATTGTGGCAGGTTTAGCATCACTTATTTTCAAGGTCATGTTCAATTTCACAATGCCAAATCCTTGAGCTTCCACCACCCTGCCATCACCCAGTTTTACAGATTGTGTTTTTGAAAACTGCTGGTAGTTTTGACAAACTTCTTTGTCACAGGTCATAAGTTTTGATGCTCCAGAATCAATCAACCACTCGACTTGTCCTGGTCCTTCACTTAGATTTGAATTTTCTGCAACAAAGGGACTCTCAGAGGCGTCATCTTCATTTTCACATACTGCATTTTTGGCTTTGTGATTTTTGATTTGATTTTTGGACAGTTACGCTTTATGTGTCTTTCTTTGCCACACTTGTAACATCTCCATGAACTCTGTCTTTCAGCTCCCACTACTTTTGAATGGTCCTGCATTTCTCTGTGAACTTGTGTTGACATGGCTGATGCACCAGCTGATGTAGCAGTGCTGTAGTCATCATTAACACTGACTCTTTTTTGCTCTTCATTGATTAATGCTTGCTGAACAAACTGCAATGTCAAATTGTCCTTATTCGTTTCGAGAGCAGTAACTATCGTAGCATAGCTTGGTGGTAAACTATCCAGGAGTGTTACAATCTGATCCTCCTATTCAATTACAGCACCTGCTGCTCTTAGCTGATCAGTCAGTTCCTTCATTCGTTTTAAATTGTCAGTTAATCTGTCCTTCTCTTTCATTTCACATCTGAAATATTTCTTCTTCAAGAACAGTTTATTTGCTAAAGTCTCTCTCTCAAAATGTCCTTTTAGCATGTCCCAAGCCTCTTTTGGAGTTTGGCAGCTTGTTATTAAATACAACTGGGTTGTACTAACATTTAGCATTAACATGGAAAATGCTCTTTCTCTCTTTTAGTAAATGCTCCATCTGAAACTTCCACGTTGCCCAGTTCTCTGCTCCGCTCAGTTTGTCGATAAACATCTTATTATCCATTGTGAATCCCACAATTCTGTTTATCTGACTCAAAAACTTCACTTACAGAACTTTTTAACGCTCTGGGCCCATAACCTGAAAGAAAACAGGCGTTTCATCGTGCGTTCATTTATTTCTTTTTTCTCAAAACGGTACAACTGCAGTACTCAGAAGACACAGCAGATGGCAGCATAACAGCCTCTCCATTAACCACTGAACAAATTACTGCTTCATATTTCAACACTGGGCCCAGTCCGGGTCGGTCTCAGGCATAAATTACATATTAAAGACCTTCAGTTTAACCAGATGAGAAGATGGTCATCTGTTATTATTTATAATAACCACCAATATTCTGATAATATTCTGTTAGTTCCAGTCTTTGAATTATAAAAAGGAAATCTTTGTTTTAGCATTAAACTGAACTGTTCTCATTCTCTGCAGGATGAAATGCATCACATCAGATTATGAAGATTTAATCTCAGACAGTTTTCCAGTCCATCCAGGACCTCCTGCTGTTTACCAGATGAGAACGAAGAAGGAGAAGATTGTTGGTCAGAAAGATTTGAAGAAACCATATGAAACCGTTTTACTGGTTGGAGAAACAGGAGCAGGAAAATCTACTCTGGTCAACTACAGCATGGGAGTGAAGTTTGAGGATGAAGTCTGGTTTCAGATTGTAGAGGAGGAGGAGAGTCAGACAGAAAGTCAGACATCAGATGTGACCGTTTATCAGGTCTTTGATGGTCAGACTCTGCCGTTCTCTCTGACCGTCATCGATACTCCGGGGTTTGGAAACAGCAGAGGGATTTTATGGGATGTTACTATCAGAGGAAGACTGTTGGAGCTGTTCCAGTCTGATGGAGGCGTTCATCAGATCCATGCGGTGGGTCTGGTGGTGAAGGCCAGCGATAACCGACTGAGTGACCGACTGATGTACATCTATGATTCAGTGATGTCTCTGTTTGGTAAAACATGGAGAAACACATTGTAGCTCTGATCTAAAAACACCAGAACATGTCCTCCAGACCCTGCAGGCTGCAGGTATCAGATGTGCCAAAGACGGGAAGAACCGGCCCGTCCACTTCCTGCTGGATGCTAAACAAACCTTACAGAGGGAACCAGCAGAGAGAGCAGCAGCTCTGAGGTATTCCTGGGGTTTCTCCTACAGACAGATGGACCATCTGACTCAGTACCTCACCACATCCAAACCTCAAAACCTGGCAACAACTGTGGAGGTTCTGGGTGACCGGATCAGACTGACAGCCTGCACCCAGAACCTGAAGGAGAAGATACAGCTGATGGAGCTGAAGCAGACCGAAATCAGGCAGACTGAGGAAGCTGTGAGGAGCCATGAAGAGGAGATGAGGAGGAGCCAAAGCTTCACTGTAGAAGTTGATGAGGAATACAATGAAAGGCGGCATCTGGATGGAGGGATGTGGGGGCTGGTGTTTTATAACGGAGCGGTCTCCTGCTGTCACTGTGACAAAACCTGCCACTGTCCCTGCACCGTCACCTGGTATCCTGCCACCTGTGAGGTCAAGAGAAATGGCCACTGCTCTGTCTGTTACTGTCATTCTTCAGCTCATGTGAAACGAGAGTGGGTGTACCAGTCCAGAACCAGGAGAGTCCAGAAGATCCTGGAAGATGTGAAGAGGAGATATGAGTTCAGCCAAGGAGGATGGATGAAGAAGAGAAATCTGCCGCAAAATCTGGAGAAGGAAAAAGAAAAACTGTTAGCAGAGAAGTCCCAGCTGACTGATGATGCGTATTACCATGAAACTGGAGCAGATCGTCCTCAGAGACCAGTCTCTGTCCACTTTTGTCCACTTGGACTTCCTGATTGGCCAGATAAAGGAGAAGAAAGATGTATGGAAAGTCCAGAAACTGGAGGAGATAAGAAGAAGACATGATGGAGATCAGGTGAGATCAGGGCTGAGGTACATGGCGTCTCATTCCTGGTCCACAAAAACAGGAAGTGAACATGATGGGTCCAATGAAAAGACGAAGAAACAGAATCTGACGGTTGTGAGGGATGAGCTGCATTCTTACGTTTAGCAGCATTTGGTGTGAGATAATATTCTGTTAGTTCCAGTTCTATGGGTTTATATATATATATGTGTGTTTCTGAGGCGCCACCTACTGGTGAGAAGGAATGGCTGGACTAGTGACTGGTGTCACTGCTTGAAACCAGTTTGGTCTTTGACCCCAAACTGGTTCTTGACCAGTTAGTTGCCCAAGTTTTGTCTGGTGCTGGAAACATTGTAATTTAATGACTTGGGCTAATTGTTAGTAAGCTAGCCAGTAAATTATGTTTTATGGATATTTCTTTGTTCATTTAATGTTTAAGAGCAGAATTCCAAATTAGCTACAACGACCATGTTAATCTATCCAGTCTAAGTCACTCATTGTTCATCTACTGCATGAAGAGAAATAAAAGGTGACCTAAAATGAGTCTTGATTGTCGTCATCATTATTCTTCAATAAAGATAAAATGGTTCAGCTGATAATCAGAGAGCAGAACCAGTTTCAGGTTCTCCATCAGAACCAATAACCAGCTGAGCCTCCATCGTGTCTCTGAGAGCAGATCTGACATCTGGTATGCTGGGTGGGATGAACTCCATGAACAAAGCCTAATGTTACAGTCCCTGTGTTTGCTGATTGATTGATTGATTGATTGATTGATTGATTGAACTGCCTTGTTGCTGAAATGTGCTATACAATAAACTTCAGTTGATTTGATTAAAATAGTAGATATTAATGAACATATAATGTTGTAAATATACCGGGCCCAGAGCGGCACCGGGCCCAGAGCGGCACCGGGCCCAGTATGTTGTGCATCATCCACCTGAGTAACGTTTCGTGGCTCCTTCTCCTTCTTCGGTCGCTTTACGTGTCGCGTCCACCTGAATAAAATGCAGCTGCCGCCCTGGGTTTATCTTCTGAAGCAACAAGTTAAAAGTTTTATTTGATTTAATAAATCAGAATCAGCTGTTACTCCATCACACAGAAGCAAAAGGAATCCGGACCGAAACCGAACCTGTCAGATTCCATGTTGTTTTTGTTGAGTAACTTAGTAATTGGGTCCGAAAACTGAGATTCATCTGATGTTGCCACATAATAAATCATAGAAATGTGTGAATGTTTCTGTCTGGACCGAGCTGATCCAGAAAGGTTCGGTCTGTCCTCATCACCTGTGCTGCTGCCCGGTTCCGGTTCCGGTTCTGGACTGAATAATATTCCAAAAACTCAGAACTGAAATAAACAGTGACGTCACCGCTACTGAGCGTTTCAGGGTTTTTATTGGCTCTTCTGTTTCCTGATAAACATGACGTCACCGCTATAGACAGAGCAGCCAATCAGAGCCCAGAGCAACAGGTCTCCATGGTAACGACGGATCGTTTAGAGCAGAGCAACGTCGGAGCTGAGAACAAACTGGTTGAACTGGGAGAATTGGAGGAGAAACTGGTGAGTCCGAGCCGCTGATTGGTTCATTGGTTGTTTGTTTGTGTCGCTGCGCGCGCAGGGCGGCTGCTGCTTCCTGTTCCAGAGATAAACATCAGAGTTTCAGGCCTCCACACCTGGAGCAGACCTTCACAATAAAAGCACGGAACACTGAGGTCAGTTCCTCCTTCTGACCAGCAGGTGGCGCCGTTTGTCCGCCCAGCAGATAAACAGAAACTTTTAATAATCCGAACATTTCTGATCCCAGTTCTGATGGTTCTGGAGGAGATCCAGGTTCTGACCTGATACTTCATCAATGATACTGATATTATTATTGATACTTTATTAACTATTTACATATTGAGTCATAAAAAGGAGAAATTTATTGTTTAAAAGTAAAAAAAAATAAATAAACAAATTATTTATTGTTTCTTGATTGAAAAAAATAAAAAGACAAAATTTCATTCTGACAGAACCAGAACCAGAACCAGAACCGACCCACTGGTACCAGAACCAGAACCGACCCTCTGGTACCAGAACCAGAACCGACCCTCTGGTACCAGAACCAGAACCGACCCACTGGTACCAGAACCAGAACCGACCCTCTGGTACCAGACCCGACCCTCTGGTACCAGAACCAGAACCGACCCTCTGGTACCAGATCCGACCCTCTGGTACCAGAACCAGAACCGACCCACTGGTACCAGAACCAGAACCGAACCTCTGTATGTGGCTGTCAGTCATGGCAGGAACGTCCAGACACGACCGAGCGATGGCCCAGAAGGCCCGGCAGCAGCTGTCGGGATGTTCTGACCCGGTGGAGCGGCTCCGGCTGCAGTGTCTGACCCGCGGCTCGTCTGGGATCAAAGGCCTGGGCAGGTAAGCTCCGCCCACTTCACTCACCTGGTCACTGCTGTTCTGACCACAGTGGAGCCGGGCCAGGACCGAGTCAGAACCGGGTCAGAACCGGGTCAGAACCGGGTCACTGTGGCTCTTGAATGCAGAAACATCAAAGTTTAGTCGGATCAAAGGAAACATTTCTTCAACTCACCAAACCAACTTTATTCATAAACATTTTAAAACAACCACAGTTGATACAAAGATCAAAACACAACATAATAAAAAACATAAAATAAAAA